GTCCGGCGATTCCCTAAGGGTAGTGGTTAAAAGATGAGAAAAGGCACCTAATTTCTGCAACCCGGTCGGGAGCACGGCGCGGTGCCTCTCTAGAGGCACTGCGCCGTGTTTCCTTCGGGTGCGGCCGTGCGGCGGAATGCCCGCGAAAATGGTCGCGGGCGCGCCTCAAATCCCCACAAGTCCTATGACCAATATCTGTTTTATCATGAAAGTTTCACGTACAGTTAGTTGTGTTAGAACATATTTTTACTACAAAAAATTCCCATAGGCATTCTACGTAGTGCTTGCTTCCATTCTTATGATAAGTATCTGTTGTATCATTAAGAGCCAGGCGCAGTTTCTTGCATTAGAGGATATTGCCAATCATTCGAAAGCCCTCCGCACAGGGCACAATTACAGCCGCATGACCTAAATCCGTCACATCATGAGGAGTAGGGTGCGGGTTGTTGCATTGGAGAACATTTAGGCTGCAGACAATGTTTGAAAGCCTGCTAAGCAGGGTTCAATTCCAATATTATGACCGATATCTGTGACTTCATGAACAGTTGGGTGCGGTTTGTTGCTTTAGAAAATACTTTGACAAAAGACAATGTGCAGAAGTCTTCCATACAGGTTCAGTTTAAATATTATGACCGACATCTGTGGCTTCATGAACAGTTGGGTGCGGTTTGTCGCTTTAGAGAATACTTTAACTAAAAATAACGTCCAGAAGTCTTCCATACAGGGTTCAGTTCTAATATTATGACCGATATCTGTGACTTATGAACAGTTGGGAACGGTTTGTCGCTTTAGAGAATACTTTGAATAAAGACAATGTCTAGAAGTCTTCCATACAGGGTTCAGTTCCAATATGACTGATATCTGTGACTTCATGAACAGTTGGGTGCGGTTTGTCGCTTTAGAGAATACTTTGACTAAAACACACACACACTGCTTGCCATTTCTAATGTGACTGTAATTTGTTGCTTTTGCTGAAACAATGCACAATAAATACTCAGCTACCTCTGTAAAGACAGGTTTCACTTTTGTATTATACTGATTTTTATATATAGGGGGATCAACCACATTTTTTTTTTTCATAGAGTTGACCCGCACTGGGGTTCATTTTTTTTTAATAAAGTTGTTCTCCCTCTGCATTGATCACTGTATCAAATATGTGAGCTACAAGGGACTTCCATTATCAGCACTGTTTTCTCTTCAACGAATAGCTTTGTTTACTACAGTTCAATGGTCAGAGCTAAGCTCGACTTCCTGTGGCTCATCTGTGGTTGCAGATCTGTGCCCCCACGTCTCATGAAGATACTGTGTTCTGGCTGCTCACATTTTTCTTTTGAGCTGCTAATGCCCAGAGGACGAGCTCTGTGATAATGAACACTGGAGAGCATGAATACTGTAACTGCTGTGGTAGTTCTTCATTGACCACAAACGTGCAGATCCTGGCTTTGGTCACATACTGATGCTTGGAGTTCAGTGCACTGCAGACTCGCTTATTTTCTAGCACAGGCATGCCATGTTGCAGCTTGATTTTTGCCAACACCAGTGTACACCTGCAGCCAACAAAGCAGCATCGACGATTAAATGTGTTGAGAGAAAACACACTTGGAGATCAACACTGGTTATGAAGCTCGCATGAATGTTTCAACTCTTTGAAACACAGACAAAACAATGTTGCTCTCCTCAGGGAGTACCCACGTGTATACTGGTAAATTGCGATTATGTGCTCATTTCGTGTCACTGTTTCTTGAATACCACAAATACTCCAACTATCACAAATAACATTTGCAAGCAACCGGAAAAATCGCTCGTGACAGTGCAAGCAGGAGGCTGAATCGTTGGGATACACCACCAGATCTTTTGTGATGTACATATTCAAGATTACACACAGGGTGCACACACATACTGGTCATTTGAAACACTTCTGCCACCTTCTCTATGCGTTTGTGCAAAATGATTTCAAGGTCCCTTTAGCCTTTTCAGACGCCACTTATGAAAAACTGTCTGCAAATGCATCAAGTTCATGCATTATTTCAAGGCACCTGGTATGCCATTGCAACAAAAATAATTGACTATTATGTTAATTTATGTGTGATACAGTAACTGATCCAAATTAAGATGTAATTAAATATCTACTTGTACTGAAGTCATTTGATGCTCTGTTTCGGCTTGAATGGAATGAAATCTCACGCTAGAAATATAGGGCGAGTTTATTTTAGGTTATGCCTATTTTGAGCAAAGAAAAATTATACTTTTCACATGGCTTGCAAAAAATGGCATGTCAAACTTTGTCGTGCCATAAGCAAAGTGATCATATGCAACAGTGCAGTGGAAGTTAAATGAAGGTTATGCAGGCAGAGGTTTAATTCATCCAAATCTCAATGTATCTTTCTCGTTGATACAAACAGCAAAAACAAGTGGCAGTTGTGTCTCAAAGAGTAGAAAATTGCCTTGTATGGAGCTACAGAAATATTGATACGGAAATGAAATCAATTTGTCATAGATTCAAAATGTATACACTTTTACAAAATTTACTGCATTTTCTGTGCACAAGTTTGCTTCCTGACATTACATCAAAATTTTGCAAAGAATTTTGCAAGAACTTACAAAGGCTTCATGGCAATATATGAAGATTTCTTTTAGTTGAGTATGAGGGCTATGTGTAGGAGCAGGTTATACATAAGAAAATATGGTACCTTTGTAAACGATTGCTCAACATCCTCATACAAAGCGTGCGTATTTCTCTGGTTAAATGCAGGTAAGAAAATAGTGTCAATGTAAAAAGCCATTCCACGTTTTAATATTCAGCTGTGCGTGCTCTTTGGTTGCCTGCCTTGCCTCCAATGTCCACTGTGAAGTCTGGCATTGCAGGCAATGGGGGCTAGTCTTCTTTGTCCCAAGTGTGCGCTTTCCAAGGAGCCGATTTTGCAAGGAGCCGAGAGAAACATGGTGTGGCGATAGAACCCCATACCCCCTCACATCTTTTCGTGACCTATTGAGGGGGGGAGGCCGCGGTCTGTTTTCGCTTTTAACGACCAGTGAGGTGGCCTCCGGCCAGTGGGGTGCCGGCATGTGGCGTGAAGACGTCCGGTGTGCTGACACCCGTATGTCTTGAATAGAGTCTGTGAGGCGGCTGCCATGCAAAACAGCGTATACCATCTGGCAGTAATGGCATGGGCCCGCGAACGAACCAGCTGCACCCGGGTAACATGAGTGGGGCAACCGAATGGTGCCACCATCGTGTGCGTTCACACAGTTCGCGGATTGTTTTTTCAAGTCGTTCCTTTCGGCTCTCTCCCTCAGACCGGGAGCTCAAATGCCTGAATAAGAAAGCGAGAGGAGAGGACGGCAATAAATGTGTTTAGCCCATCCAATAAACGGACTGAATTGTTTCAGTTGGCTGTGAGTAAAACGGGGACGGGCACCTCCCCGTTCTCCTCACAGCCAAACCTGGCACCTGACTCCTCACGGGCGTTCTGGACACAGCAAACAGTGCTCTGCACTATCGGCTCTGCCGAGGCAACATGCGGCGGCCCAAACGATGAAGAGTCTTGTAAATTTGTACATAAGGTCCTGTACATAAAGTTGAGTTGTTGCAATGCATCAAAAGGTGCTGGTCTCTGTGGAGAGGATGGCAATAAATGTGTTTAGCCCATCCAATAAATGGGCTGAATTGTTTTGGTTGGCTGTGAGGAAAACGGGGAGGGGCAACCTAGGGGTTAAAACCTGGCACCTGACTCCTCACGGGCGTTCTGGCCACAGCAAACAGTGCTCCGCACTATCAGCTCTGCCAAGGCAAAATGCGGCGGCCCAAACGGAGAAGAGTCTTGTAAATTTGTACATAAGGTCCTGTACATAAAGTCGAGTTGTTACAATGCATCAAAAGGTGCTGGTCTCCATCCTTGAAAAGCAGCAGTAGTCACGAGAAGACAAGACAGAAACCATGCAACCAACCTTCCACTTCCTTCTGTGGCGACAGCAGCTACGCAGCTGAAAGATCTCTGCTCTAGAAAAAGAGGGAGTGGGTAGAAGGTTGAGTTTTACTTCCACCTAGTTTTTGGATGTTTCTTAAAAGGCTGTATGCATCGGTAGCCAAATCTTTTCTCCACCTCGACTGTGTTGGTTATCGTCAGCTTTGTGGGGAACAGCATGTCCCTCTGTTGTACAACAGCCATAGCATGGACCTTTGTTTCAGAAATACAGTCTGCGCAGAGCACACATCCGCAAATAATGTTTTTGTCAAAGTAGTACTTAAGGGAGGGGTGACTTACAACTATACAAATTAACTATACATTTTATAGAAATTTTATTACTGCAACGTCTGTTGCACTCGGGAAGGAGTTGAAAATAGGGGGCCATGCATTGAACTTTGAAAGCTTCCAAGAGGCAATAAAAATTTGAAAGCAGTTAATTTTTTGTTTTTGATTTGTTTCTCTGATTTTCTGTTCTACTGTGACTTCTTTTTCACCCACTGCCATATTTTCTCGTTTGTTCATCTGAGTCTATGTAAGTTCAACTTCTTCATCCTCACAGTCTATTGAGGTTTCATCATCTGCATTGCTGTCTCTCCGGTGACATGTGTTCTTCGTTGCAATCTGATATTTTCAAGTTTTCATCTTCGCTTGAATGTTTATATTGAAAGAAAATTTAATAAATTTACTGGTCTGTTGCCTCTATAATAAAGAACTTCTTTTAGGTGCTCCAGAACTTCTTTTTCAGAAAAAAAAAACAAAAAATTATCACGCACTTTTGCACACTCCTCTTGCTTCCAGAGCACATTTGTCTGGCGCAGTGACTCTCATGGATGAGAAGACGAACACAGGGAGAAAGAGAAATTTCTTGATGAGGTTAGAATCCACGATCTCAAGGCGAGCACCCTTTCCATTCGGGTAGCCAGGCATGCTAGCATAGCCTTGTACAGAGCAAGGATAATTGAAGGTGAGGAGGGCAAGATAAAGGGAGAAAAGAAAAAAAAACCTACAGGTCATGCAATTAATACCACACGCTGAAGGAATCAAGCAACATTTATTTCTCACTACACAAGCCGCACTTCTGAGGTAGTTTCAAGCGGCCTCTGAGGCAACATCATATTTACAGGGCAGCTTCTGCCAAAACTTTGTACAGAATTGCACTACTACACATTGGGGAAGAGGCACGAAAGTACAGCTGTTGCAACGCACAGAGTGGCTGGCCCAAATTGCATCACAGCTTTTACAGAGTTGTTGGCACAGCTATGGCAGTAATGATCACAATAGGAATTCATGTTACACAGAATACAGGCTAGAAATACTCAAAAAGCTGCTTCACAAGATTAGACACAGTAATCGTCTACAGCAGCTATCAGCATACCCCTAGATGATTTTCACTGTACAGGATGAATATTTTACAGAAATGCAAGTTCAAAACCTTGCTGCAAAAAGCCAACTTGTGGCAGTGCACAGTGAAGATGCGATGAGAGCTGTTCAAAACCTTGACTAATTGATATGTGGGGTTTAAAGTCCCAAAACCACCATATGATTATGAGAGACGCCGCAGTGGAGGGCTCCAAAAATTTTGACCACCTGGGGTTCTTTAACGTGCACCCAAATCTGAGCACACGGGCCTACAACATTTCCGCCTCCATCGGAAATGCAGCCGCCGCAGCCGGGATTCGATCCCGCGACCTGCGGGTCAGCAGCCAAGTACCTTAGCCACTAAACCACCGCGGCGGGGCAGCTGTTCAAAACCTTGAAGAAAAACATAATGGTCAGGAATATCAAGTGCATGCAGTGATGTCTTTCCCCATATCAAAGCTTGCTGTCATACATCATCAGCCATGAAAATGTATTGGTTGTAAGCAAACACACACTGCAGAGCTGGTGGGCCAGCAAAGAGCACACTGCAAATTTTCATGACCTATAGAGCTATTGCCATGCTAATACAACACAAAATAATAAATTACACGTGTTCAGCACTACCACAACAATGCAACTGTGTGATCGGTGCATACATTGGCTCGTCAAGTGTGATGCAGCAGTGACAAGCAGGAACAAGCACAGTGCCGACAGACTTTCCAGATATTCAGCCTGGCTCGTAAATGGTCCCATTTACGAATTTGTGCAAGTTTCCCATGGACGTCAATCTTCTCGCATGATGTGCATTTTCAACCAATGTTCTTTCAGTAAGATTTCTGCAATATTTAAGATAAATTTCGGAATATTTTTCTGCAAAATAAATTATTGCGAGCACACTGAACTTGCGAAGTTACAAAACCATAGCTGGCAGAAAGCATTGCCAATAAGCCAGATGGCTGCTACACAGCAGCCACACACCCTGTGCTTGCCTGTAATATTTGCACTGAGTAGGAATACTATGTGCTTAGTCACAGTAAATGCATTCTGCATAGAACACATACACATAATGTCAGGGATGAGTTAATGATGCGATTGCTTGGATGGTGTGCATGTGTTCTATACTTCCTAGTTGTTTCTTTATTTCTGTGCCTGGCAAATGCACTTTGGCAACAGGTCACAAGTTGATACAACATAACATAAAAACATGGGGCATCATTTTCACTATAACTATGATAAAGTAAATATACAAAACAAGATTTTAGGATAACAGTGTTACCATTATATTCACAGTACATCGACGGAAGATGGGTGCCGCAGCAGTGTCACAGGCATGAATTAGGCAGTGAGGGTTGTTTCTAAACATACACAGCAGGATGTTCACAGCAGGATAGAGAATCAGGCCCATCTAGTGCAAACTGATTTGTAGATTACAAAATGACAAGTTTTACCGCACCATTTGATTCCGAGCCATCATCAACTGTCCCTTGGCATCCACTGTGTCATTTTCTCTTGAGCACTAGTTGTCTGTGTTTTGCATTCACCAGCTTAGTACATGGATTATTCTTTACCAGCCAATGATAACCATTTTGCTCATTTTAATTTGGTGTCAATTCAACAGGTGAGGGCACTCTAGATGCTCTGCAATGAACATTTAAGTTGAATTGGATCAGTTGTTGACCACAAGCCCCAAGGTGTGAACACAGTCAAAAGCTCCTTTTTTGATATGGGCCAGCTCTACTCAGTATGAATCCATCAGGTGATACCAGTCCAGTCACCCCTACAAACTTAATAATGAAATTCTGGATTGCAAAAGCTGGGAGAACTTGGATTGCATAGAAAATATAGACGAAAGAAAAGCACACACGTACACACACACACATCTGCTTCTATGATATGTGTACTAGTATGTGTCTGTTTCTTTTTTCATCCATGCTTTCCGCGCACTTTTAGTTCGCTTCAAAATGAATTACCACTGCACCTGAACTGCCGCTTAGCAAAACATGGCTATAAATGCAGGAGCATCACACACTATAGAAGCCATTTGTGCTAGCTTACTTTGCAGTGACAGTAGTACATTAGAAGCCCATTAATTCAAACTCGGTTAATTCAAACTTGCAGTTAAAACTGACACCGCTGTCCCTGCACAGCCCTATGTATTTCTACAGAAAAAAATTCAATAATTAAACATGTCAGTGTTCGCAATGCTTAATTCCAACAGGAAGCCCTCGATTTTCATTGCTTCATGCAGCAGCCGACCCTCAGTGATTGAAATCTGTTACAGAACCAAACCTAATTAATTTATTAGACATGCAGAACAATGAAGCAGCAGCGTTTCTCAGCATAGAGAGTTCAGACGCTGCGCAGGAGCTCTTGAGCCATCTGCAAACAAGGCTCATGGAGTTGCGAGAGAAAAAGCACATGCAAATGCAAATTACTTTCAGATGTGTTTTTGTCAACTATATAAATAAAAAAAATGTTTGTAACATAAATAAATCCATATATTTCTCACATAATTGCATGTCCGTGCTTGTTTCTGCCATATCGCTGACTGAGCAATGAATGCTGTTCATTGTCAGAGCTTCATGAACTTAGTTTATGAAACCAATGACCACAAGAAAGTAGTAGCGCCGAGTCCGCTTAATTCAAACAATTTGGTAGTCACCTTCAAGTTGGAATTTACGAGCTTCAACTGTACCCCCATTTGGAATGACTGAGGTTAGCACAAGTCATCAAACAGTCTTGTATTAAATCTACGAAGTCCGCAATACAACTTCCAAGGCGGTAGAATGCCAATGCAATGCACTTGTATGTGGTGATGTAGTGCATGTACTTACAATGACACCACATGGTTTGCACATTTCCTGTGCCATTCATGTGAACCTAGGAGTCCGGTTGTGTTCGGCGCAAACAGGGCAGAGGTGAGGGAGACCTTGAGGCAAGAGGCAGCAGTGCAGGCGAGAAGGAAGGTGACAAGGCAGCAGCATAACTGTCATCCACGGCACCTCCAACAGGGGAGCGCGGTGGGGCCCCACCGGCCCGCACATCATCCTTGAGCCGAGCAATTTCAGCGAAAACATGCGCCAGTGGCTGGTACTGCGGCCCCCAGTCCAGTAGGTAGTCCCAGTTATACGAGCCAGCCAGCTCCTCCTCACTATGCACAATGGAACTTAACGAACCAGTCATTGATGGCTCACCCAAGCTCTCAGCTGGTTCATCCAGCTTGGCGTAGAGCAGGCTTGACAAGTCTTCATCGTCGGCAGGTGCACTGGGTGCCTTTGCCCAGGAGTCAATGGGTGCGGCAGGATCGATGCCCAGTCTGGCCAGGTATTCGTGGGTGTTGCGAACCGACATATCCGAGCCACTGTCACCCTGCGGCCGCAGGCCTTCATTGATCATGCGAATCTCCTCGTCCTCATCTTCAGCCGAGCCACGTCCACTCGACTGCTCGGACACCTCAGAAGTGTGCATGGCACCTGCTGCATCATCGGGCCTCTCGTAGAAAGCTGGAAATGGGTCGCGCCGCAAATCGACTGTGTCGAATGACGTGTCGAGGTTAGGCTCGGCCGTCCGTTTGGTTTGTAGTCGGCCCCGCAGAAGTACCACAGCAGCTGCCAGACCAGCCACGGCCGTCAGGGCAAGTAATAGCAAGGCCAATGCCCAAGCCGGAAGACCGTGCGATGCTGAAGCGGCAGCAGGCGCTGCTGGTGCCTCCTCCAATGTAACTCCGGTGGAGGCCATCAAAGAGCCACGCCGGCCCGAGCTTGCCACCACTTCAAGGCGTGTGCCACCAGACCATGGTGCACGAACGGACAGAGTGCCCGAAGAAGCATTCACGCGGAAATGGGCACTGCCACCACGGATCTGGTACAATACACGGCCGTCGGGTCCACGGTCACGGTCAGTTGCGTGAACATGCCCAATGACAAACCCTACGGGGGCACCCAAAGGCACTGCAAACCTGTACTCCTCCTGGTCAAACACTGGGATGAATTCATCGCGACTGAGAACATGAACATGAATGCGAGCCGTTGCCCAACGTCCACCTGAATCAGTGGCTCGCACAGTGAGCTGGTAGTGTGACTGTGCTTCATAATCGAAGACAACCGCTGAGGTAAGGGCACCTGTGGAACTGTCCATGCCAACTAACTGAGTCCCTTCGACGAGTGAATAATTGAGCTTGCCAAATGGGCCCCTGTCACCATCAACGGCTCGGGCCACAAGCAGAGGACTGCCCATGGGTGCCCCTTCTTCAACTGAGGCAACATACTCGGCCAGTGGGAACTGAGGGGCATGATCATTTTCATCCTGTAGGTGTACCAGCACGCTGGTCAATGCTGCCCATCCACTGCTGTCACTGGCGCGCACCACAAGTCGTTGCTCGGGAAGCACATCATAGTCCAGCTTTGCTGCCACGACAAGGTCGCCACTTGCATCTACCTGGAAGCAACCCAGTCGATTTCCAGAAGTGATAGCGTAACGAAGGCCCGGTGTCAAAGGGCCCAAATGCAGCACTGTGTGGCCCAATGGTGCGCCCTCTGAGATGGACACCTCGTAGCGGGCCTGGGTGAATGTGGGGGGCCCACGACCCTCGACGTTTATGAGCAGCTGTGCAGTGGCATTGCGAGGAGGCCGGCCTAGGTCTGTAGCCAAAACACGCAATGCATATCGTGCACGTGGCTCCAGTGCCCGTGCCAGTACGAGGGAGCCATGGCTTAGCACGAACCGCCCACTAGCTGTGTCCAGGAGACGGTATTCCACACGCCCATCTTGGTCGCTGGCTGACACTCGCAGAAGCGTAGAACCCGGAAGGGTGTTCTCTGGTACACTGGCTCTGCAAACACAAGTCAAGGTGGAAATGAGCTCCTTGCTGTCAAGCTTTGTTTTTTAGCACATAGCACACATTTTAAAATGGGGCAAACAGTCCATGGATCTACACCAATCCCAGGGAGAAATGATGACAGCTACTTCTGCCAACAGCCATTGATTATTTTCCTCTCTGTGCCCTACTTGTGCCAATCATCACACATCAAGCGCTTGTTCAAGTTACACAGCATCTATCATCACAGATGAGGCATAAAAGCAGACTTTCCGAGCTAGACGTGGCAACACATTGAGGTTTTTGATACCATCTTTTCAACGGGCTTCTTGGAGGTCTGCCGATTACATTAATTTGTAATCTCATACAATTCCAGTGTGGTGATAATGCTTTGCTTGTGCAATTCCCCATTATAATAGGGAGGCTGGGGCCCGCAAAAGCTTTTGTTGTGTATACAGCTTCAAACCGACTAAGCTCTCTATGCAAAAAAGTGAATGACAGTAAAGCTATTAATGGGTCCAGGAGCATGCCATGAGTTACTTTGTGTACAAACACGAGGTCGTGTATGAAATCTCAACCTTATATCGCCACATGTGTCTAGCACAAGCAAGCAATTGCTTGATGGATGCATTTTGTGGGCACACAAAAAGCTCAAGACAAAAAGTGAGAGCAATCTCTCCATCATTTATCTGTCAGTGCATTTAGATTCATGGTTACTGTTTTTCCCTGTTTTACTGTTTTACTGTTTTTTGTTGAGGCTAGCCCACGCAAAGGCAGCGGGCTAGCCTCAATTCCCACAAGCTTCAGCTACGACTGTTACGTGAGTTGGTGGACAAAGTGCGCTTGAGTGCAACTTCCAACGTACATGTGGCAGAAGGCATCTGCCTACCGTACTTTGTACATGAAGAATTGGGACTTGGGCCAAAGTTTGCCGTGCAACCCCAAAATAACAAGCCATAACTCTTATCAATTGTACGTCAAGTTTCGAGGCGGGCTCCCAAGGATCAGGCCACCAGGATCACTAACGAAGGTGTGAACGCCTTGAAATCGTGTAGGTCTCCTTGCTGTAGTTTTCCTCTCAAACGCGTGGAAACATACTAGACACAGCATGCTGTGAGTGTACTTCCAATTGATAAAGAAGGAGGGTTTGTGGTTTTCTCGCATGATGAATATAAAGAAAAGGCTAAAAGTGCTATTACGGCAGTTTTCAGTGAAAAGAAGGATATTTCGATTGAAAAAGTGAGAGCAAAAGCAATAGAACTGAGTAAAAGAAAGAATCTAGAAGCTGTGCTTAGCAGTATTATCTTTCAGGGGTGCAAAAAAAACTGCCCTCGCGTGATAATATATGGTAGCGCAGACAAAGGACACGGACAAGAGAAGGCACATTCAAGACAACATAGCGCTGTGTTGTCTTGAATGTGCCTTCTCTTGTCCATGTTCTTTGTCTGCGCTACCATATATTATCATGCTGCCATACCAGCAAGCCCGAATCGCCACCCTCATTGCCCTCTCGTGCTAGTGGAGCGCCAAGTGGCAGACTGCCTCTATGGGGCGACGGCGGTTTCTTTGCTGCGTTCATTTTTCATCCCCCTCCCCCGTGTCTTCTCTGACAAATTTAAACATTAGGGTATGCATTGCTCCGCCATTGCATTCCAGATTTGGCATCAACACTTGAAAACAAACATTCTTGCTTTCTCTTGGAAAGTACGCACTACAGGCGAATCTCGATAATTCGAACTTGAAGAGGCCCGAAAATTTGTTCAAAAAAAAGAAGTTTGAATTAATGAAAGCTAAATGAACAAAGGGCTCACCATGCAGTGGTGCATGTGCATTGAGCTAATACACAAGGGGGAAGTTTCAGAAGACTCACAATTATTCACAAATCACAGAACATCCGTCATTAATTTGTGGGAATTGAGGCTGGCCCGCTGCCTTTGCGCGGGCTTTGCCGCCTCTTTTTTCATGTCCCGACATGTCTGCCCTCCTTTGCCGTCAGCCGCGCTGGGAAGGGCGGAGTGACGTTTAACTCCCTCACCCGGTAGCGGATGTTGACTGTGGCGCCGCGCGGGTAGCCTCCCGAGAGGTTTTCGCGCGCTGCGTCGGGAGCAGTGAGTACAGTCCGGGACTTCAAACGGTGAGCCACGCATTCTTTTCCGTCCGTCGAGTCCCGTCGCTCGGGGCTCGTCGGACTTCGCTGACGGCGCCTCGCGCCCGATGCGAACGCTCACCTTTTGTTGCCCCGCTGCGTACTCACGGCCGAAGGGCAGTACGGTGTCCTAGTGCGTGGCCTAGCTACGCCGACCCGTCTCCCTTCGAAGCCAACGCGAGCGCCTTTGCCCTCGCTCGAGCAACCGGGCCCCTTTGTCCCGGTGTCTCCGTGGATTACCTTTACCGCGGAGACGTGCTCGTGGCACCCCTGTGTAGTACTTTGTGCCCGTGGCGTGGATAAGCCTACTTGCTTTCCCGCCGCGCCTTTTTGCAACGGGCTGTACTGCGTTTGGTGTTGCCACAATAAAGTGTTGCGACTTGAGCAGTATCGTGTTTCCCGCCACGGCGACGGTTAACGCGTGCCCTGCGGCTCGCTAAGACCGGACCCACGCTGGTGGCCGTACTCCTTCGGGATACGTGTACACCACAAATTGAAGTAATCGGTTATCTGCGTCTGCGTACATTTGCCTTGCAGTGAGTCAATCAATTTCGCATGCAGCTTGCAAAACATTTATACTTCAGCTTCCAATCTTCTGGCAAGAGAAGTTGCATGCCGCAATGCCCAGCTTTGGACTCCCTAAGACGGCGACAACGACTGCGTCTCCGCTGCTACCCTCTGCTCTGCAGCCGCAGCGTGGCCAGCACGTGACGAGAAAGGAGAGGAGCGTCTCGACGCGTAGAGAAGCAGATCAGTATTTAAGAAAGAGCCAACACTCCGCGACAGCTCTTTCTTTTGTTTTCCTCTCTCTCTTCGCACATGGCGCTGAAAGGAGAAGGGTCTCTACGTCGCAGGGACGAAAAAGAGAGAAGCATGGCACAGGCACATCACAGATCGGCATTTGAGAGAGAGCAAACATTCCGCCACAGCCTTTTCTTTCCTTTTCTTCTTTTCCTTCGCGCACAGCGTTGAGGTGTCGGAGGTGCCGCCGCGGGATCGGGCGTGATGCTGAGAGCATTTTTGGAGTGCGGTATGTTCGAATTAATCGTTGGAAGTGCTTGTGCGTTCGAATTAGCGAGCGTTTTCGCCCACTGAAATACACATAGCTTTGATGGGACCACAGCATCAATTGTAATTAACTGGACGTATGAATTAAACATGTTCGAATAAACAAGATTCAACTGTATTTATGAAAATAACAGTACAGTATTAGGCAAGAAACACTAGATGTTTCGTTTGCTGCGATGACAAATGCATCTGTCCATATGGTCTGCCCCCAACAAACCTTTCGTTTTGTTATGAAGTCGAGTCAGAGGAGCGTGATGGTGCATGTTTTGCTTCACTGTCATTTTGCAGTTGATATAAACAAGTTTTGGCAAGTTGCGCTTGTGAAAAAACGTGAACTCGATGTAATATCCTGCCCTGGCATGAGACACTGCATCTATGCACAGCAATGAGAGGCCGACACTTCGCTTAGACTGTCAAATGCAACTTGTAAAGACCCAACATCGCAGCAAATCAAGAGACCTAGCAGTGTTCAGCCTCTTTGAGCAAGAAAGGCATGGCTTCAGCGCGTTTAACAGCACCCCACTACCCGCGCTGCACAAAGAACGAAACTGAAACTGTAGAAAATGATCTGCAAACAGTTCACTCTCTAACACAATCCAACCAGAAGCCTGTACTTACCATAAATGCCATGGGGGTACACGACTGCAGTGCAAGATTCCTCTCTAGGTATGACTGTATAAATTTATATGGTCACGATTATGTGATAGCGATGACACTGCGTTTGACTCTTCTGATGGGAGGCTTATGGCAACGTGATTCGGGTTTCATTTGCGTGCGCAGGAAATTTTCAGGCTCTAGTTATCGGTAGAGAGGTGTACATTGGATTCGATTGTTCTTAAAGTTTAGAATAAAGATTCCCTCGCACCTCCTCTAACTAACTTAGCTGCTACTGGCAAGAATAATTTAATCTACCTTTTTTGCAGAGGCATGAGGTCGTGCCATAGGCTTATTCAGGCAGTCTGCGCCCGTTTTTTGGGCAAGGCTGAGTGTCACGATCTATAATTTTAGTTATACGACGGTTTTGCGTGATGCCCTAAAAGTTGTATAATTGTAGTTCCACTGTACGTTTTTTGAGAAATAAATGTTTTTTTGCCCTTACACCTCTATATGAACATGTAAGCCCCAATTTTAGCTGGATTCAGATGATACGTTCATCTTAGGTTCTACTGTATCCCTTCCTTCTAGAGGGATCTTTTCCTGAACAGCATGTCAATACTCACCGCAGTAAGTTGCAGCATCAATCTCTCTTTTGTGTAACATCAGTGTGCAGACGTCCTTTGCTTTTCCACCATTCTAGGAGCAAACATTGTTTAGATCGAACTCAGTGTTTTTCACTATGACACTCGCCTCTTTTTCAGGCGAGCCCAGAGCTGCGAGCTACGTGTGTGCAGGCAACGACGGACAAGGCAATGTGGCTCACTAAGCAGGAGCAATTCTCGACTATGGTGAGTAACGAGGCTACCACAGTGTTCAAACTCATCTGTCACTATTCCATTATGCATCACACAAGTAAAGTTCACACGCGTTTGGTGGCAGCACTGAACAAAAAAATCATTGTTTTTTAAAATATTTTTCTCAACTTTCAAAGAACATAAGTTATTGTGTGGATCGCTGAATACACAAAAGGTGGAAACATCTGGTCATCCAGTAACACGTAAAAATTTAGACTATTACCCGGTGAATCGTATGTGCAATTTCATGGCCTCATCTCAGTCAGCCAGATGAGCTGCACACAAATTTAGAAAGTGTGTGAATGATTGATGTCCACCTGAAACTGCCCACTCTCAGAAGAGCAACCTTTCATGTCTTCCACGTTACCAGCCTGCCACATTTAGCCCTTGTTGAGACTAACAATTCTGGCTGAGCTTGATCGAAAGTGACTATTTTGCAAGTGCATGCATTGCCAAAGCATAATCACCTGTAGACAGTCTCCAGAAATTTGGGTGCACTGTGATTAATGTCTGCCAGGTGCATGCGCAGTGGGACAACACTCGACCGGGTCGGGTGGCCATTGTCGGTTGCTCGAACCAGGAGCTGCATCACTGGCCGACTCAAGTCGAGGCTTCCGTTGGTGTATACTGTGCCTGTCAAAGGGAGATCACCAGCCTTCTTTCAAACAAATATTAAGTTTTTATTAAAACCGCAATGCATCACAGGACATTGACAATACAAGAGGCCTTTTCACCATTCTTACTTTCAGTATCACACTTGTGTAAGAATGTCGCCAATTTTCTACGTTTAGGCACAGTTTTAGCAATTACACCAGAATCTTAGCTCTTTCCTTACCGCGCGAAATATATTTGATGTGTCTCGGGGAGATAGTCTTTGCCAGTTTAAAAGGTACTCCAGCATGCATTGCAGCATACCAAACTTCGCACAATGAAATGGTCTTTCCAAAAAATGTATGTCGTAAACCAACAAAGATATTTCTGAATGAATAAAAATCTGAAAACTTCGTAATCTTGGTAGCCAGCTGGTGAACAGGGCAATAAGAAACACTATATATGCAAAAATACTCATAACAAATAAAATTAAATATATACATTTTGAAGATAAATAACTCATCATGCGCTCAATTGTGCGCATGATGACGTCATAGGAGCGACTAGTGACACTAGATGAGACCCTGTGTCTGATATAACAATTCAAGCAAACGTAAAATACAGTGAACTCCCTCTAAGAAGAACTCTGTTAAGACGAATTCCTGCTTAAGACGAACAACTCGGGAATGTTTGTTTGGTTTTCCATAAACTCAGTGCAAATAAAATCTGCTTAAGACGAATTACGTAACACGCCTTTTCTGTTAAGACGAACTCTCACAGCAACCGACAACAACGAGAATTCTGTGCAACAAATATTAGTCTTGATGGGGGCATTCAGGCAAACAAGAGAAAGCAAAATGAAAAAAAAAAAAAGTCAGTTGCTGGTCTGAGCTTCCCACTGGTGGTTTTGCAGTGTCTGAGCCACGTATTCAGAAACGTCACTTGACTTGAACTTGCCTAGCCATCAACTTCAATGCAGCATGAACACGTTTCGAATGCGCTGTCCTTAGGCGCTGCAAAGGCAGCACAAACGCACAGACACATTTCAAATGCGCTGCACTGAAAGCGGTTTCACCACAGGAAAGACCGACTAAGCGGCAGAGAGGATCGCTCACAAGGAGCGAGACGTCAACATTCCGTAGCAATCGTCATATCCGGTTCAGTCCGATTTGTCTGGGCACACCGCTAGAGCTCTGTATCGTCTGCTTGCTGGCAATTAGAGCACCAATTAAAAATTAAATATGTGACTGCAAGATTTTTCACTGCCCTTATTGTAACTTGCAAAATATATACTATGTATAGATGGCTGTTTTCGTGCCAGTAAATTTCGTTGCAGTTGGCCTTTAAAAGGTGGCATTCGACATTCTAAATTTTACTTATATTCACAAAAAACATGCTTTTAATGTTGCTTTTTTAAAGGCACAGTCAACAGGCTACGGCTTTTTTCTTGTTGTTTTTTACACCTCCCCAAAGAAGGTCAATGATTCGCAATGTAGACTGTGGCGATCACGTTTTCTGATTATTACAGCACTGCCATCGCATAGGCGTTCATTTCGAAAAACAGTTCCCGCACCCCTTTTTTACGCCTGACTAATCCTCCTTTTAAGCGCAGTGACGCAAAGTCACCGATCAGCGGCTTGACGTAGCACACAGCTCGTCGATTGGTCTAAACCAGCCACGACGATGGGCTATGCCTTCCCCTCCCTGTGAAATGATGAGGCCACATGAAAATTTGAAACCAGATGAAACCGATGTTCTAACCCTTGTAACTTCTATAATAACTTCTTTATTATAGCACCTATTTGAAAAATTCTAGTGGCAGCATGTTCGCAAAACAAAAGTGCACATATTTCTCTTTATAACAATTTTTGGACCTCTGGGTTGTTTATTGGCCCTTTAGAACATCTCTCATTTTAATGACGACAGGTGTATGAAAGGCTGTAACCAAATGTTTTTACTCTCCACCTCAGTGGCGTCTGGACGCTGGTATTGTCGACCATAATGTAAACAAGCCGACACCCCTTTACAAAAATATTCATGTACCCGTACCTGCAGCGATGGCATCAGGGCTCTGTTTTTTTTTTCCTTTTATCTCATGATCAAATCTTTTTTCTTCTGGCTTATGCACATTTTTCACCATGCAAGGTGCAATACTTGATGCAGCTTAGTGTTGTCTTTCAAGGACTGCGGTTCTGCAATGTCAGCCGTGTTGCTTGTGTTCATTCTATCTGCTACGGCTACTGGCTAAGTGTCGTTTTGGCTTATGGTGGCCATATATTCTACAATGTCAAATTTCTATATGTGTTTATTTAGCAAAGCAAATATTCACAAGTCATTTAAAATAAATAACATCATTTTTCTAATACTCTACATTTATCTGCCTCCACTTTTCTGACTATGTTTTTGCTTAAATATCGACAATGATATCATGAATGAACCGCACTACTTTTCCTCATGAGGCACCACCACGGATTGAATGGCATTCATTGCACATTGCACCGAATGACGTTTGAACCTGATGGCATTATCCCCTCCAGTGTGGCAGCGGTATTAAAGAGAAAATGAGATGAAGATATGCACCCCTCATTCAAAATCGACACCTTAGGAAACACACAAATACTTCAATTATAAAGTTTTTCATGAAAGAAAATATACGCTCTTTGTAACATCAAGTGCACTGCTACGTAGCTCGAAGCACTTCCAAGATGATTGTACATTACTTTCATTTTTTTCAGCAGATTAATTTTAAGACCTACCTTCCTACTCCCCTTGTCTGATTGAATTCAAATTCGTCCCCTGAGTTATTCAGTGAAGCGCAGGTTACTAAGGTACTCTCCATTAACTCGTCACGGCAGGCATGTGTCTAGCAGAAAGGACCTAGTTAGGTTTAACAGCCGTCGAGTGGGAGGTGGCACAGTGCTCATGTGGGTTCACCATCATCATCAATATGGTTAGTGCGCCTGCGCCTGCAAAGTCACCCGGCTGTGATGCTACGTGGCCGCACAGGCAGCAAGAGCGAGTCTCTTTGGCCTGTGGCAGCAGGCACAAACTGTTGTCTCCCCCGGTAGGTTCACAAGAAGCATGCTGGCTACAAGAATCTGACCAGCAGAAGACGACAATGACACAACAAGCACGAGATGGTCGCGTCCTTCATCACGAACTCGTCCCCTCAGCCCTAATAGCTCTGGCCACTGTTCTACTAGTCCCAATAGGCTTTGCTGGTACCACCGTCATTATAGGTGGCGTGAATGAGACTGTCACCAGCCATGTTCGTACGTGAGAAACAACCAGGCCGAACAGTTATGGCAACCACTTTTCCCCGCTTCAGGCACAGCTGCCTCTTCTATGTTACCGATAGTGGCACCAACGTCTGCTACATCGTTGATAATGGCTCTGAAATCTGTCCTTCCTCTTACATAGGCTGAAGATACCATCCTCCCCACTCCCCTCCTCTCACCACGGTCCAGACTCATGGCCAAAAGACTCCCCACATTGGCCTTAGACATACTTTTTGCCAGTTCTTTGTCGTCACAAACATGCGACAACCAATAATCGGAGCCGACTTCCTAAGGCACTATAAGCCTTTCGTGGACATGCGGCATAGCTCTGAAATAAGCTTAGCCATTCAAGGCATTTCCTTTCACGCTTCATCGCTCCAACTTTCCTAGGCACACACAACCATTCCTGACCCTCGCTCAAGAACACAGAGTTTTCTAAACTTAACTAGAGAATGCTCTGGCGCTGCGATCGTTCAGGAACCATGGGAATGATCGGTAGTACATGAATTTGCCTAGCGTTTGTGCTTGCAGGCAGCGACCGCATTTGTGGCTCCGTTTATGGCTGTGTTTTGTTTTGTTTTTGTTATTTTAAATGAAAGAACGAACGGTTATAAACTTCGTGTGGCGATTTCAAATAGTAAGCCTAAAAGGTTAAAGTAGTGAAGTGCAACTGCCGAATATTTTTCGTTTGTCGTTTCGTGATAAAGCAGCTCCAAGCCACGTCAAGCCCAACAAAGCCAAAAGTACAAATACTACACAAATTCATGAGTTACCTATCATTCCCCTGCTCGCTGAAGTGCCGTGCATAGCAGCTCCCATAGACACTAGTGCCAGAGTTCCCCCTAGAGTATTTATAGGAAACCCTGTGGCTTCTTGTACCCTTTGTTTTCCCTTCTGCAGTGTAGAATTCAGCACACTCACTGGAACAAAAGGAGAGTTCTTGATAACGAGTCCAAAGGTGGCAACTCTGGGTTATTCCCATGCAGTGTGGTGTGATGTCCGTTCATTTTAGCGCCCGCCCGCTTATTTGAACTTCCCTTATTTCAAACAATTTTTAGTCCCCTTTGAGTTGAACTAACAAGCTTTTACTGTACACATTACCCCCCAAAATCTCCTAATGAGCACCATCGCCACCAACCAAGACATAAATACAGTGCCACAGCAGACATGGCCCGAAAAACCCACTACAAAGCCTTTTCTTTTTTTTTCGCTAATGTGCAGAAGAAATCTTGGCAATCTGGCAGGACCGTCTGACAGCGCACATAGACGATGCCAAGGTACATTTCAAAACTGTTACAGTATAACCTTGTTACAACAGATCTGCTTACAACAAATATTCAGATCCTACATACCAATTGGTGCCGTTATACTGGCCTCCCTATTTAATCCATTGATTGAGCTTCTGTTGCTACAGATTCTGGTATAACTGACATTCGGATATAATTGAATAAAATGCGAGGCCACAAATGTGGTCAGGACTCTTTTACAGTGCACTTTTCTGCCACGGACATCATACAAATCAGAATGAGGGTTTCTAAGTTTTTTATGATTCCTATTGCTGATGTACACTCTTCTATGTATCGCGAATCAGTAACCTCTGTTCCACCAAGTTTTGCTGCCCAATACCAATTCTTGAGGTTGCAATGTCTGAAAATTCACTTTGTCTGTGATAAGTGTAATGAGTGAATAGTGTCACAGGGTAGTGACGTGGATGAAGGGAGCAAACAGCAGATCGAATAGTAAACTGTTCATTCGGGCCAAACTTGTGGCGGCGTAAAAGTTAGATTACAGCAAGACACTGGCACTCATTGCGGCGAGCAGAGCATCGGCCATTGATCAACTGACAAGCAGCGAAGCGCGTCAGCATTTATAAACTTGCCGTCGAATGTTCTAGCTCTATCTCTAGCGGCAGCGTAGGTTCCAGAATAATCTGTAATGTTCACAAAGTGAGCGCAATCTTGAGGAGAGAGAGGCTGGTCTTGAAATGAAAATTTTTCTTTTTGGAGATACTGTAATGAAATTATGTCTGTATATGTACTTCTTCCTCTTCTTCTCAAAAATATGATTAGTTTTAATGTAAACCAACTAGTCATCAAATTGTGAGAGCATAAGTGAAGTCTAATTGTGTAATTTCTTACGGGTCGTTAAGGTACTTTCCCTCAATATTTTTAGATTCTGTTTAGGAAGCAGCTGTAGGCAAAGACCTGCCAAGTGGAGCTATGCTATTTATATTGTCACTGAGATGCATCATCACATAAAAATTCTCTTTTGCATTAATGCTCCACAATATTGAAATTTAATCAGCTCACATTATTGTTCATAATATTTCATATGTCCTTCTTAGCCACAAAAAATTAGCATAGCTCCACAGTCCTGTTTCTTACGAGTTCAACGGTATAAAATTAAAAAAAAATTACTTCCCAAAAGCATGATAAAATGTTCCGTAAGGCTGGTCAGATCGGCAAAAAAATGTGAAGCTGAGAAAATTGCATTTGAAGTTACGACATGCACTACAAAATTTTCCTTAGGGAACTTTTACCATAAATCTTATACACATGTTCCCTATCTATTCCCCAGCAGAACAAAACATGATGTGCCTTATTCCACCCTTGGAATCATTTCTAAAAAATTTTTCCAATGCGGGAAGCATTATCAGAACTCCACCATGACAAGCTGTTCAGGGGTTCTGAAAAAGTTGTGGGGTATGAGGCTCAAACGATCAGCCGGTAGGCAGCATGCTGCCCTGGGTAATAGGTTTTTGTGTTCCAGACTCTCAAGGAACCATGAAAATGTCTCAAAAATCGGGCATCCGTCCGGAAAAACGAATTCCCACAAAAATGCCCCTTTTTTTATAGGTATTTTTTGCTGATACAGAGGGTCACGGCTGTAGTACGAAATTCTTGTTGCAATCTTGTAAATGCATCGTTCAAGTGGCTTTGAAAAGAGCCCTATATATATAAAAAAAATCTGTGTGGCCGATGCTACCTCAGTGGTCAACATGTTGGCCCCAAAAAAAGTCTCCTATTTTCTTTTGCACGGCATTCCGCTTGTCAGCGATGATGTCTGCCTCAATTTCAGCTACACACCATGCTGTCGCTGTTCATCGATGCAGTGTTATCAGTGCTTCGAGCTTCACCGATACAGTGTTATCAGTGCTCCGAGCTCGTTGGCTGTGTAAGCGCTGCCAAAAATTGGATGGCGAAAGCTATAAGTGCTGACTCTAAGAAAGTAGAACTTTCGAGTAGCCGACTTTCCGGACAAAACGGTATTCGTTTGGCACCGATTTCTTATCTCGCTGTGCCTGCTCCGCTGTTGAGTAGTACACAGCATCAATCTGAAGTGTATCGCTCATCAAACTTAGTCTCACAACGTTGTCAGTAGACAGCATCGTTAAAGTTTCCGGCGGATCCAACGGTTCCGGGCGCGACTGCAACCAGCTGCCAAAGGGACTTGTGGCGCCTTCTTGTTCCAAGGCCGTGTTTACGGCTTCCGAAAGCTCGTCGCATCAATGGTTTCAGGTGGAAGTCTCCAGGTATCTCGATTACGGTCAAAAACTACCGGTGCAAAGCGAAACACGGTGCGTCGATAAACACGCACGATTGCAAGAGCAGACACACACCAACAGCACCTCCACCAGATGTCATAAAGTCGTGACGTGGATGAAGGGAGCAAACAGTAAATCAAATACCGTATTTACACGATTGTAAGACGACTCGAATGTAAGACGACCCCCCCAAAATCGCATCTCAAAAAAAAAAAAAAAACTCACGTAGGCCGCAAGCTTCACCTCTAGTTCCGGAAAGCGGCCAGACTTCGGCCCGCGAAAGCCACGGCGCTTGGAGTCGCACGAGAAAATTTCCTCGCGCTGAAGCCGCCACTTCCGCACCACACATTCACCGATTCCGAACTTTCGTCCTCATGTCACGGCACTCATGTCAGACAGAAGTGACTCGAGAGAGCCGGTCGTGGACACAAGCGACAGGAGCACGCGGCGACGCGCCCGCTTAGAAAATTGTATCACAAAGAGGAGCTCTTCCGTCAACTACCAATACCCCCCCCCCCCTACGGCGGCTCTTCCATCAATTACCGGTGTTCCCTCAAGAGCCGTGCGCTCGTCATAAAGGCACTCGTAATGCGCGCAGTAGATGCTAAAAAAAGAAAAGCTTTTGTATAAGCACGCGGAAAACTATGCGCTTTGGGTTGAGCGGGAAACTATTCGAGATGACAATACATATGGTTCGATTTCGATTCTAAGACGACCCCCCAACATTTGATTGTCAAATTTGAAAAAAAGGGTCGTCTTACAATCGTGTAAATACGGTAATAAACTGTTTATTTGGGCCGAAATTGTGGTCACGTAAAAGGAAAGTTAGATTACAGCAAGACACTGGCATTGATAGCGGCGAGCAGAGCGTCGGCCGTCGATCAACTGACAAGCAGGGAAGCGCATTGGCATTTATACACTTGCCATCGAATGTTCTAGCGTTATTGCTAGTGGCGATGTAGGTTCCAGAATAATCGGTGATGTTCCTGGAGTGGGCATAATCTTAACAAAACAATCTCCTACAGCCTCGAAGCTTTTCAAACATTGTAGGTGCGGTTTGCATTGAACGTAGTGTAACGTGGCAATAGAATCTTAACAAGTGTTGCCTGTCCTTAGAGGAATAGAGTCGAACCCTTCTATAAGAGACAGCATTGTGCCCACAGTAAAATACAGGTGAAAATAAAAATGCATACGTGGTACCCTGCTTATAATCTCATATAAAAGACTAGAATTGCTGCCCATAGCATGCCTCTAATAAAGTAGTTCAACTGTAATCGCATGTTTGGGATTATATGTGCAGAGGGTTTGTTTGATTGCAAGGTTCCGACTTTTTATTTGCGGTGCAGTCTCTTTGTCCTTTTCTGACAGTGACATGCTTGGTTGCCACATTTCACTTCATGAGAAAAAAAAGCGAATTATGCAGAAAATTGTATGAACGAAATTCTCACTCTAATCTCTCTTACATATAAGCCTAAGTTTTAGAGACACTTACCAGTCTGTTTGTCAATATAGAAGCCATCTGAAAAGCCAGCAAAGCTGTAGTGGATGTTGGCATTGTCACCAGAGTCGAGATCAGTGGCGCTTACAGTAACCACGGATGACCCGAGTGCTGCCGACTCGGAAATGGGCACCTACACGAACAGAAATGAAGTCAGTGTTTCAGAGCAACCACATTCGGTAATTAGTTTTGCAGCAAACACAGCAAATGCAACTTTCATGAAAACATTGCGAACTTGGTTTACAGCACAACACTTGAAACACAGACACAAGGAAGGCGCAAAAGTTAAAGAAAAGGTGATGCTCTTTCCTTGTGTCTTTAATTCTAGTGTTGTGCTGCAAACCATATTCACAATGAATCCCAACCAACTGGCCCGATTCGCTGTGTTACTGCAATATATTTTTATGGAAACCACCACCAAGATGTCTTCCAAGTGTTTGTAATTCATGGTGCCATGATTCATATATAATTTAATGGCTATTCAAAATATGCTTTACATGCAATGGTATTTATCACTATTTTAAAACTTTTTTTTATTTATTCAAGTGCTACTCATAGGGCCCACAAGAGTATCTCATCGAGGGAAACACAAAACAGAACACAATTTTTATGGACAAAGGGTCATTGCAGATTAATAAAGTGCTCAAGTACACTAATACGTAAAACTTAGTAACAAGGCAAACATGATAACAAGAGTAAACAACAAAAAAAGCGTAATAGATACACAAAATATGTTAGCAATGCTGAATTGACCATTTGTAGGAAAGCTACAGTGCATGAGCAGTAATGAACTAGGTAGCAACCTCTGCAGGCATTTTGGTTTTAGTTGGAAAACATGTCACGTACGACACGACGTCAGCGATATGTCATCGCCGCACCACCAACAACTGAGCAGGGCATCCTTGACATGAGCACGTGTCATAGCGACGCCATGGGAGTGACATGCCCATAGAGCCAATGGGGACGAAAATTGGACCCGATGATTGTGCCATCTGGATTCTGACGGCAAGTGTAAAAAGATTGCAAAACTACTATTTTATTTATAACTGATGAAGCTTTTATTGTCTTTTACACTCAAATAATTATTTTCACCAAATAATAACTAAGAATATTGTTTGTATTATTTGTTGCAGCACATAAAATGAAATACGTTTCAATAGCGCAAGGGCGTCTCGATATGACTGCTGGCCTTCCGTGTAACAGACGACACCGTCGTCGTCTGCTTCTGCGTCATAGCTGTCTCCCGCTCGTTGTAGCAGCGCCTCTCTCAATTTCTCTCGTTTCCATACACAGTGAACTCCTCTAACACGGAACTCGAAGGGGCAAGAAAATTTGTTTCATTTATGAGAAGTTTCATTTAAGCAATGCCCACAAAATGAATGAAATATGACTTTAGTTCAAAAACACCAACTGTGGCTGACTGAACGAAAACATTTTGAAGTATACAATACTACTATAGTTGATTAGAAAAAAAAAATGTTGCTAATATTACTGACTCGAAAAAAAGGAGGTGATAACAGTTTGCTTGGCTTTGTTTAAGCATTTTTTCACAAAGTAAGAGTGCATGGCTGAAAGGCTGGGCAGGAAATCTGTGCCACCATTGTGTTTGAAGTAGCGCTGCAATAAGATGACAGCATCTCTTGTTGACTTCTGCCACTGAAGTGGGCTCAGGATCACGCACCATCTCATCTCCACTTGAGCACGGGTCCTCATCTCGAACTTCAGAAATAAGTTCCTCAATACTGTCCTCGCGGCATGTGGTGACGTTTGCATCAAGTGTTTCATAGTCCAGTCACGTAAAAGAAGAAGACAGTGTCACTTGACTGAAAAGAATGTTAGCCTCCTCAGCCTCGGCAATGTTGTCTTCGTCATTCGGAAGGACTTCTTCTTTTGAGAATCCTGCATGGTGAAAGCACCTTTGCACAGTTGACACTTTCACGCATTCCCAGGCATTGGTTAAAATGGAAAGAGCTGAGAGCAAGTTCACATTGTAATCATTTTTGTCGTCTGCACAAAAAGGCATTCACTGGAGAACTTGGCGGCAGTAGAGAACCTTCAAGTTTGGAGTTATGCCCTGGTCCATCCGTTGAATGATTGCAGTCGCATTTGGTAGCAAGAACTCTAGGCTGATCGATTTGAATCTATTGACTTGACCGTGAGCAGGGCATTGATCAACAATAAAAATAACCTTCCTGTTTATTTGGCTAAATCTTCCATCCTCTTCGCGCAACCGTGTCTCAAAGATTGCTTGGGTCATCCAAGCTTTCCCGCTTGCGTGGTGCGTGACAGGCAACGTGCGCACACCTTTAAAGCAGCGTGGGTGATTTGATTTTCCTACGACTACCATCTTCAACTTTTCACCATCGTCCATGTTGGCACCTACTAGCACTGTAGTACGGTCTTTGCTTCGCTTTCTTCCAGCACAGGTTTCTCTCTTTTAAGCAAGTCTTAGTAGGAAGTGCTTTGTAAAACAGCCCCCTTTCATGAACATTAAACACGTTCTATTGATCGTAGGCTTCCGAACTTTCTTGCAACCTCCCTTGTTGCCAGTGGCTACAGATATCTCTATTTTCAGCCACACTTTCTCCAAAAACTGTCTTAAAGACAAGACCATGCAGCTTTTTAAAACGGCTCAGCCAGCCATTGCTCACCCAGAAGTCCTCGATCGCCATTCAAGTGGCAATCTCTGGCCTTCTCTTACAAAATGGGGCCGCTATTGGAGAAGTTCGCACTGCGCGCTCGCTTGAACCTGAGAAAAAGAACATCTTCGACTATTTTGTACGCTGTCGTTCTCAACCACATTCTGTCCGTGGCGCGAAGTTCCCAAGCTTTACAGCTTCTTCCATCTTCCCTTCGTTATTGAGTATCCTCGACAGCGTGGACTAGGGAATAATAAACTTCTTCGCAATTTTTGTCTTTGATAGGTCGTTGCGGTCAAGTTCCTGAATGATTTTTACTTTCGTTGCGAGCGAAAGTGCATTGTGCTGTCATTTTTTCGGTTTTATCTCAAGTTCATGACGAGACATCGATCGCTCCTCGGCATGCGCGGACATGTGTGATTGCTGGATTGGCTTGGCTAAGCTAGCTTTGGTATATGTTTCATGGTTGCAAGACTGCCGTGGCTACTTACCCCGTTCATAAATTTTGCCCGTTTTAGTTTCATTTAACCGATGTAAGTGAAAAAAAAAAAAATGTTCCGATTACCTAATACCTTTCTCATTAAATATATAGGAGACCAACCAAAAGTGCCTAGATAGTTTCGTTTATACGACTTTCCCGTTTAACCGAGTTTCGTTTAATGGGAGTCCACTGTAGTACATTGCAGTACACTGCTTACTAGAAGCTCACAAGTATCTTGCATGCTTAGTTTAGTAAGTGAGTGAGGCCACACACAGGCCTAGTGAAACGACAATGCTGATCCCATTAACTTGCATCAATAAATTGTTTTATTGCAAGTCAATCAATGTTTACATAAAATAAAAGCCATGTAAGTAACGTTTTAGCATGCACAGCCGTGAACAATGTGCATGCATCAGCATTCATGCACAAACAAGGTACGTAGTACGCATAATTTCAAAGCAAATGACCGGAGCACAAAAGCTGTTTAGCGCTGGCTGATACACTCAAACCTCGTTATAGCCCAACGGGATGTAAGGAAATAACAGATGTAACAAGGTAAACGAAATTCCCCTAGAAAGCTCCATAAAAAAGAAAATTGACCGGTATATAGATATACCGAACTAAATTAGTCTATCAAATAGTCTATAAAAAAAGCCCCACTATAGTGTATTAAGTATATCATTTTCTGCAGAGTTTGACACTTGTTCAGCGCAGCTATTTCAAAACTCCTGCGCCGACCTTACAGCCACGCCAGGAGCAGTTGAGAGAGCCGTCCTCCTCATACAGCCAGTGGAAAGGATTGAGAAAGCACTCAGCGGGTCATATGACCGAGAAGCGGCACCGCGGTGCAAAGCGATTTCCCTCTCAAGACGGCAACGACTGCGTCTCCGTGGCTACCATGGCTGCTACCCTCTGCCCCAAGAAAGGAATACTCTCTGCGACAGCTTTCTTTTTTTTCCTCTTTCTATGCGCACTGCCTTGAAAGGAGAAGGGTCTCTACGTGCAGAGACAGAAAAGGGAGAAGCGTGGCACAGGCGTGTCGCAGATCGGCATTTGAGAGAGAGAGAAAACAATCGGCCACAATCTTTTCTTTCCTTTTCTTCTTTTCCTTCTTCGCGCGCAGCGTTGAGAGGTGCCGCTGCGGGATTGGGCATGGTGCTGAGAGCATTTTTGGAGTGCAGTATGTTCGAATTAACCGACGCAAGTGCTTGCGTGTTCGAATTACAGGGCGTTTTCGCCCATTGGAATACACACAGCTTTGACGGGACCTCAGCATGAGTTTGAATTACTTAAAAGTTCGAATTAATGAGATTGGACTGACTTTATTTTCCGTGTCACGCGTAGTCGCGTAGTGGCACATCGGGCCGCGAGGCAGTTCCGTTCTTTGCATGCTTATACTTTGCATGCTTATGCATTGTCACAAACTGTTATAATCGATATAACAAAATAATAGATATAACGAAATAATTGTGGCTCCCCTTCAACTTCGTTATAACGAGGTTCGAGTGTATATCCATCGCACTCCATGAAACCTTTGCTCGAGTAAGATAAGGTATATCACAAATGTTCCTGCACTTCTGTAGCTCAAGATGTCGTTCCACCTTGTTGACAGTATTCGGCAAACTTTCTGTAGTTGATATCAACATATCCACATGCCTTTCACAAGCAGTGCGGTGCGACTATGTTTTCGGGTTCGCGCTGCCACCTGAAGTGGATCACTTTCCAATATTCTATGAGTTCGCACTAGTCATGCTTATAAATGCCTAAAATTAAATGAGAAACAGATTTTCTTGCGTATCATTTTCAAGCCTTACAAACAAAATCGTCGACAAAAAGGCTTCAACGGCGTTTCTCTTGTCGCTGCCGGTGGTGCGCAGTTGTCCTTTTGACGGGGGCCACACCTGAAAGCCCGTAAGAAAAACTCGCAGCATGCCACAGGCTTGGCGACTCGGGAAGGTTGGCTCTAGCGATCAAGTCACCTTTTTATCTCGGAGGCTTTTGTTCTGCCAATACCACTTCTCCCGGTAGTCTCAGGCTCCACAAAACGGTGGAGGGCAGCACAAGAAAATAAAAATGTGAACTGCACGGCGAAACTGCATCATCGCAGGGCCAAGGGGTCATTTTGTAGGGCAAAGGACAAGTTCATGAGCTCAGTGGTATGTAAAGTTGCCCATGGGCAAGCCTATGCCACTGCACATAGGAGGGAGATTGGTAAGAAAGAAAAAGACGCGGGAATAGTTTTTCAAATGAAAGTGGTGCAAAGCGCTGTAACATTAAGAAAATGTGATCACCATGGTCTACTGTACAAATTGGCGAGCAAAAAAAAAAATGTTGGAGGTTGTTTACTGGCTCTTTAAGAGTACAAGGGAAATGGTTTCTTTTAAAAGAATTTGTTTTCATTTTTAAAATGACCGGATAATCTCTCTAACAAACGCAATGGGTGAAATGAGCAGCACTACAACTGCAAACTCACATTGTAAAATGGCTGCAAAAACCGAGGTGCGTGGTCGTTGGTGTCCAGCACTCGTATGGTCACCAGGGTCTCGGCGACGTGTGTCGTGTCAGAGACATGCAGCCGCAGCTGATACTCGCGCTGCTGCTCATAGTCGAGCGGTTCAGCCAACAGCAGCCGACCCGAGAAGTGGTCCACCACAAAGGTGCCACGTGGCTCAGCCAAAGAGTAGCGCAGCACTGGGTGTGTGTCGACGTCATTGGCTGTGATCGTGGTCACCGTGGAGCCTACTCGAGCATCTGCATACAAAGTCACACTAGTCAGTGCCGTGAACGAGCGCTATTTGTTGAAGGGGTTTACTTACAGAGATATACCTAATGGGGATGCTGACACCCTCTGTGAAGTTGTTTGCGCCGTGCGACGCACATGCCTCGCGCAGAAGCCGTATTTCGGGGTCACAACTATTGATCGGTAGGTGGCGTTGTGTTCGCGAGAGTAGATCACCGCTATCATCATCCCTGTTATTAGACAGCGCTGGCGGTAATCCCTGGCGGCAGGGAGAGTTGAGCGAGTCTCTTCTGCGCGTGGTGTTTGACGCGAACGGTTGTCTTTCGCGGTGCGTCCCCAATTCACGGCACCGCGGGCCGTCTACTGGGGGCCCGCGTGGTGAGTAAAGCGTTGGCGACGTTGCTTTTTGTGTGCTCTTGTGTTTGTTATGTTGTTACTTGCTGTGTAATTTTGTGCAAGGTTGTTTTACCGGGTTGATTACAATTGATTTATAATAATTTGGCTGACGATATCATCGATCAAAATGTAGTTAAATAAATATGTGTTGTTTGATTTGTGTCGACCCTGTCTACTGTGTTTGTTCACTCTAAAAGCGTGGTGGCGCTCACCACCTGCAGACCCCACAACCTGCAGTGCTGTGTTGCCATTTAGCAGGGAGGATATAAAGATGTCAGACATGTTAGAATAGTAAAAAAAATTCAATGTCAACGAGACAGACTGAGGATAGGACTTTGTACGAATATTGCAAGTAAACACACTTTAAACACATTTCTCAATTACAGTACATAACAGAATGCAGTGTACAACAATAATAACCATTTACTCACAAAATAGCACAGCATGCAAATAGCTGAACGTTGTCATATGCTTCATACATGTCACTATACTCCGCTTTACACATCCGGTGCAATCCTCTAGAGGCTAGCGAAACTTTTTGCAGTCGATGCTTTCGCACTAAGAAATATGTCAACATTGTTACATGCCAAAATAGATTTTTGTTTTCGTTTTTAGGCTTAGTATTAAATGAGCATGTTTTGTAAGCCACAAGTAAATAAACCACGTTATACAGTTGTTACTACTGATGCTAACCGATACTATAGGGTTGTATCGGTTAGCATCTTCTTGTTTTCATTCCTCGGTATTTAGTTTTGCAGGTGTGACGACGTGTCATCTAAAGGTGCTCGCTCGGAACTCGCGAGCATTTACAACACGAGCCGACCACAGTAAGTGTGAAGTGATACGTTTTGCGGACCGAACTTCTTGCATAGCTTCTGCAGCATTGCACCTCGTGTTTGAAAGTATAGTCATGGGAGAGAAAAAAAATGCATTATTATTAGTTATACTTACTACCACTTCTGGGAGTTGATCCTATTCTGCTGTGGTTGTTCTTTAAAAGAAAGAATTTGAAAACCTAGCAGACATCATGGAATATTCTTTTATAGGTTAGTGCTCACTCGTGGTCCGAAACACATTTTTAATAGTTATCCAATTACCTTAGTATTGGAATTCAAAGCATCATGAAATGATTGCAGCAAAAATTTTATTAATTCACCAATAATGAGGAGTTAAAGATTTGCCGTACACTTGAAGCTATGCAGTGAAAAACTCTTAACTGTGCTGATTATCAAAATACTGTTCGAATATACACCAGAAATGCAGCACATACACATGCACAAGCACCGTAGTAGTAAAACACGAATGTTATTTGCGATTTTGTGACAAGTTTTTGTGCACCAAGGCATTTAAGCGTTATCTCTGTACTGAAAAGTTATACAGTAAAACCTCATTATAACGAAGATAGATATAATAAACTAATGGACATAATGAAGTGATTGTAATTCATCTTAGAATTACCATACATGCTCATGTATTTAAAACCTCACTTTAACGAAGCGAAAAATTCCTCGCAATGGATATAACGAACCATTATTTGTCTGCAATGAGCATTTAATGATCATTTTGGTATACATCAATTCAATATCTTATATCGCACGTCGATTTACATCTTATCACGACTGCGGTACTTCAAAACTTGTGCCTTGTGCTCCCCGGGAGCGGCCTGCAGCCTGCCACCACGCCTGTGGGAGCGAGTTTCTCTGCCTCCCCTTTCCTGAGAAACTAATGGACTCGCCCGCCCAGCAACTCGTGCGAGCATGCGCGTCATCCGGCCTTCCCTCTCCTGTAGAACTCGTTGACCCGCCCACGCATCTGACCTCCTCCTACCCTTCAGCTCAGTGCCGGTGCCTTGCATGCCGCCCGGACAGTCGTTCGCTGTGGAAGAGCAACACCACCTCTATCAGTTTCTGCCGCTAGACACGAGATGGACAACGGCAGCGGCAAACGTAAGCGCAAAATGAACAATCGAGCAGAAGTCAGCAATGTTGAAATCCGTTGAGTCTGGCGAAAAAAAAAAGTGGTCGAAGATTTCTGCGATGTCGCTGAGTGCCGCAGGCGACCAGGTTCTGACGTCGTCGTACGCTCTCCTTGACACCGGCATTGTGCCTGACTGCGACACATTCCGCATGTACTGTGGTGCCGATGCTGACGCGGTGACAATTGCAGTTTTGTGAGATGCAGAAATAGTGCGCACGGTGATGGACGTGCATGACGACAGTGAGGAATGTGTTGACACCTTGAGCCTAATGACGAACCCGATGTACCAACGCCCGTGCAAGCACTGGATGTGACAGAGCTGCTGTGCTGCTTCTTTGGTGCATACGATGATGGCGAGGACAGACTCAAAATAGCTGCTGCAGCTGAAAAAGCAGTCATCCGCGTGACGAAGAGTTGGCAAAAGTCAAGAATGTTTAAGACCAATTTGCTTCGAAGCGATCTGCCAGCTGGTGTGCTTAATTTGGCGGTAATAAAGTGCATTGTTTTTTGTTATCTTGCTATTTTTTGCCTTCGGACGGCTGTTTTTCTCTGCGCGGCGGGCTACTGTGATAATATTCCTTGGCATGTACATTCTCTCTTGTTGACTAACTGTCGGTAGAAATGAATATTGGCTATAACGGACTAGTGACTATAATGAAGTAATTACAACTACCCCTTCAACTTCGTTATAACGAGGTTTGACTGTACAGCGAAAACAGGGACAGAAACACCAAACATTTGGCATTTTAGCAATAGCTGCCGGAGCAATCACTAATGATGCGAAACGACTCGGAATTCGATTGAACGTGCTGTGCTAAATGCTCCTGCGCGTGAAAGTCAAGATAAACAAAACAAGTGAGCACGAAGTGCTGCATGCCCCTGCACGTGACAAATGGAGTTACACGAGACGTGTGAGCAAGCAGTGCATTAGCTCTGCCAACATCTAATGATACAGAACAATTCATCATTCGATCTAATGTGCAATGCTGCATGCTCCTGCACGTGACAAGTGAAGTTGCATGAGACGAGTGAGCAAGCAGTGCATTAGTTCAGCCAACATCTAATGATGTGGATCAATTCGGCAATCTATCTGATGTGCAGTGCAGCATGCCCTAGCACATGACAAATGAAATTACATGAGATGAGTGAGGAAGCTGTGCATTAGCTCTGCCAATATCGAATGATTGTGCACAGCTCAACATTGAAGTGACGTCCACCCGCTTGGTTTCCATGCTACAGTGCATGCTTGACCACTTAAAACCATTCGTGTAGCTAGTATACCAGCCGATTGTGCCCTGCATAGCACAAAGTTCACTATGGCAAACCTGACAACAAAAACGCACATGGGATGGCGGGCACACGCACGTTGGGTGTGCATATTTCATCGTCGGCACGGAGGGCACAGTTGCGCCATGGTTGCACTTAGTTTTTTGCTTTGTTCATGTGCCGCTGTGTTTGCGTGGTGCTATAAGCAATAAGGTTTCTGCTGCGATCAACAGATGGCACTTTGCCGCAAAAGGCAAGACTTTGAAATTTTGGCCGACGCCGTCCAAGCTCGTGTTGCTTCCAACTGTTTAGCATGGTTGTTAAACTATATTTTGAAATTTATTGCATTGTTATTTTGTACTATAATGACGTGATTAAATGTTGTTTTGATCGTCAGCTATCACACCATCACAAGTTTGGGCTATCGCACTAAGATAAAATGAGCACATACATTAAAAAAATTTTTTTTTCAAGGTGTCTTATACCCAATTGTCTTTTATATCAGTGCCTCTTATAAAGAGGGTTAATTGTTGAACAAAACACCACGAGATGTCTCTACTCGTTTCACTGCTGCTTCTGAAGCCGTCAGTGACTTTCAAACAGTGTCTGATTATTTCTGCGGATGGCACGTAGCTTCCAATGACAAGTTTAGTTTAAGTGCTTTATCAATAATACCTGACAGTAGCCGAAACATGGAAATGTACTCTTCAATCATATAAATCCAGTATGCGACAAACGAACCTTCACGAATGCTGACAACACTGTCTGGCGGAAAGACAGGCTGGTTGTCATTGGCATCAATGACTGTGATGTGTAAAGTGCATGACCCCGTGCGAGGTGGCTGGCCATCGTCGGTTGCCACAAGGGTGAGCATATATGTGTCCCGAATTTCGCGATCCAGGACTGTGTTGGTGCGCACATGGCCACTCAAGGGGGGCTCCAGCACAAAGGCTTGGTCCACGTTGCCACCTGCTATGTGGTACACCAGCCCACTACCCCGGTCTGCATCCAGTGCCGACACCTGCAACAACAAAAGGACCATTAATTTGGGGCCACACAATATCAAGCCAGACCTAGCAAATGAGGTGACACAAACAGGCACTACTATTGTACAAACAGTCATTAAAAAACTTCATGATGTCTATTAATTTATAAGAAGCAGAACAATGTCACGAATAAATTCTCTACCATTTCCAAAAATGCCAGAATTATTAGACTTCCCTAAAGTTTTTTGTCAGAGATCTGTCTAGCTTTTTTTTTTTAATTTACAAGTACTCAGAGGGAGACTACTATGTACATCACCAAAACAAAAAAAAAGTTGCAGAGGATACGTGAGCAAATTCTTAGAAAGGTAGTGACAAAATTTTGCGGCCAAGATAGCCTGCAGAGTCAATTCCCTTCAACATCCGTATATCATGTGCAAAATATCAACAGTGAATATAACTTGGAAGGTATTTTAAATTAATTTTGAAGTTTGCGTGAGACCTCGGCTCCATAGTGCCATTGACACCCTCGAAGGGGACCCTTTGGGGATGCCCTACTTCCCTCATGTCACCATGCTTCAGTCAAAGAAGCAAGTTATGATGACGTCATAGCTGCCATTTTTATTTTGCCTCATTTGTTTCAGCAGTCTATACAGTCGAACACATATATATCGAACTCGAAGGGGATCGAGAATTAGTTCGATATATGAAAAATTTGATATAAATAAAACGCTAGACCTGCACGGAAGGCGCAGCACAGTCACACCGAAAGCTCACAGAGCAGCCTTTTATAGGCTTTTCAAAACACTCATTGGGTAACTACTGCAAGCACACTTGTTTGGTACCCACAAGGGCATTTCAGTCAAACTCCACTACAACGAATGCCGCTTCAACGAAATTTTCACTACAACGAAAAATTCACGATTCCCCGTCAGCAGTACATAAGAGTTAATGCGTAAATATTGTCGCCACAACGAACACTTTTTCTTCGATCGTCCTGCTTCAATGAAATTTTACGCTGCAACTCCAGGCTCAGATACTGAATTCTATGCAGTAAACCCAATCTTTAACATTTAGATGCATCTTTAGAGCCTGAAAATGCGTCAACGAAGCCTAAAACATGCATTGGCACCACCAGAAACCTCCTCTATATCGCCGCTGTTCAGCAAGGATGGGCGCTGCCATTACTCGACAACGATGGCAATGAGACTGCACTGCTTTTGCCACTGACGTGTTTTTGAGCCGCAGACGATCCGAAGCTGAAGTTCAGTTGCTCAGGTCATGGTTTCCTTCATGCAGCTGCTGGGTGTCACCGCAGAACGATGCCTATTTTTAATGCTTATCATTATGTTCGCGCTTGGCCAGAGTGGTAACTAATCAGAGCGGCTGTTCGTCCCCATTATCAACAAGATCAGCTAGCCGCGAGTGATGGATGATAAAAATGGCATAGCATAATGCAAGTCGCCACTCCACGATATCCTGCCTCCATCTTGGCGTTGTTGGATACTTTTGACGATGGACAGCTGCTGGTGTTAATGTGTTAATGCAACTGTTTGGTTCATTCACGAAGGCGGTTTTGGGCGTTGTTTCAGAATGCTTTTCACCATGGTCTCGCTATGCATTCGTGAGAATCACGTCGTGACGCTGCTGAGAAAGAATAGGAAGCAGTGGACATTTTTTGAATTTTGAGAATAAACGTTGCTTTGTTTTTCTAGCTCAGATCAGCTATATTTTTTCCATTTAACTACAACGAAATTTTTTCCGCACTCCATCAGTTTTGTTGTAGTGGGGTTCGATTGTAATGATAAAGTACTGAATAGTAGGCCGGCATTCGCTATGCTAATTTTCGTCATTCTTCTAAAAAGCATGGTATCCACTAAACACTTGCAAGGAATTTTGTGCCAATTGTCCATGCAGTGGCTGACGATGATGAGGAACTATGGCTGAAGTGGGTATGCGCCGCCGCTAACAGGAGAACAAGTACAAGGTTTAGTGATGGTTTGGAGCATAGGATGGTGCACTCGTTACGCCATTCGCATTGTGCGACGACTGGTTGTTCTTTCGCTGTTGTAAAACGCTTTATAAGTCGTATTAACGTGATTGCTTTACCGACATCAAGCCTGCCTAAGGCAAGTTTGACAACAAGTCACAAGCACCAGTGCAGCTATGTGATAAAATACTAGGCTGGCACGCAGCGGACCCGGGTTCAAGCCCCACTGTCTCATTGGTGCAAGGTATTTTTTTCTAATTTCACACGATGTTCTTACGGACGCCGGCGGCGGCAGCGGACAACAACTGCGCGTGACCCGAAAGGTGATCTCATAACAGCTTTCGCTGTAATAAAGATCCTGAGAGCTTACCTGTAGCAGATCATCACCTACAATAGGCGCATTCAAGAATGACAACTAATTCCCCACACACGCCGCAACAAAATGATTTATTTGTGTGAAAAAAAAAATTGCTTATCTTGGCCTGCTTCTTTGTTTTTGAAATTAAGTTGAAGACGCTATAGATCTTATCAAGGTTCTCGAGGTGCGACAGTCCGGTTCCCTCCATGTCGCCGATACAAGGGCAAATGACGCCAAACGCTGCCACTACTTCAGCGGCAGAGTACGCGTGTGTAGCCAGCGCCTCGTCCAGAGGATCCTCCTCATCACTTGAGCTGTCGGCCTGGGCATCCTGGGTCCCTGTGACCGCAGCTAATATGTCCTCGTCAGCAAGGCTCGCAATGACCTGGACATTGAAGTCCGCTTCCACGAAGTCGTCCGCAGACACTTCGTGTGGAACTGCTGCCAGGAACTGGGAGAACGACTCGCGAAAAGCGTCTTTTATGCGCTCGTCGTCGTCTCAATCGAAGCCTGCCTTGCGGAAGCAGTTGACCAATGTGTCCGTTATCACATCTCGCCAGGCATTGAAGATCTCCGCGGGAGAAAACTTCGCAGAGATTTCTTGCCACTCCTTTGTGTTGAGGCGAGGTGTTTGTCATTTCAAATAGTGCTTTGAGTGGTTTGTGTGTGGCGTAGAGTGTAGCTTATCTATTGCGCTTGATGGCACTGAGGATTGCGCACTGTTTGAAGACAGTGACAAGGAAGTCAGCGGCGAGAGAAGCAACAAAGACGACTAGGAGGGAGCGCAGCATCTTTATGATGCAAATAACTAGAAGCAACGAAAAAAACAACAACAAAGAAGCACACACAACAGGATCATCTAGGGGCTGTATGTTTCTCGAGTTATTTGCATTATGAACCAAGTGCTTTGTTTCATCTTCACGTTCAATAAATGTTTTCCCTTGGGAAACAGTGTTTCTCTTCGCCGTTTCGTTCGTCCTACATTTGAGGTAAGAATTTTTTTCTCCGGCCTTTGGTCTTTTGGTGGTCGGCTTAAACTAAGGGTCGGCCAAGATTTGAGTAAATACGGTAAGTAACGAACGCTAATGTTACGCCTGCAAACTTTGTGTATGGTATTCTAAAACTCAAGACTATTTGCTTCCAGATTTTGAGTCACAAATAAATCTTGCTGTGTTAAACCTGGGGTTTTATTGTTAAGGCAAGTCCTGATTAGTACTCTCAAAGCTTGCAGTTAGTTGCTGGCGTGAGGATCCCGATCTGCGGCTACTTTGTTATCTTTCTTATTGTACGTTTTCGCGGAAAATTTTCACCGCGCAATTCTTGCACTCTCAACTTTTCATCGGTTTTCGCAAAAAAAAAAAGTGAGGATTATGCAAGTAAATACGGTAGTGTCTTTTCGTTGAGCAGACTTAGTTGTGATGGAGACAAAATGAGAACACTTCTGGTAGCACACTATGACTCCCTCGGACACTGAGTTACCTGTGCAACAAAGGTTCCACGGGAGCACCCTTCCCAGACCGAGGCCACGTAGCGCTCTTGGGAGAAACGTGGCGAATTGTCATTTTGGTCCAGTAACTGCACTAACAGCCGGGCGTAGCCATGTAGCATGGCCCCCGAGGGTGTCTCTGCATGTGCCCACAGCGGCAGCTCAAGCTCGGGGCGCTCCTCATAGTCCAGCTGCTTGGAATCTCGCACACTCACAGTGCCTGCAAAACATTCACGAACCAACAAGCTCCATAACCTTCATAGCAGTCAACTAGACTTGAGCAAATACTCAAGTGCTTCGAACATTCGAACTAATAATACGCTATCCAAATTTACTTCTATTCGAATTTAAGTAACTGTAAATTTTGAAGTACTAGAGATGAATTAAGAAGTGTATACATTGATTCACATGTATTCCTCTGCAAAGGTACTTTTGATGCAGTATAAGTGTGCTAAACTGTGAAAACGCCCATCCAAAGATTATCCACACTGTCGCGAAGCCCCATTTCAAGGTCAAATGAACAAAACACTCGCACATCGACTCATCGCTTTTTAAATGTAAAAGCTTGCTATATACCGGCTTATATGCTCTAAGTATATTAAGCTTTAAAACATAACGTATATTACGGGTTATCGCTAGCATTTTACCAAGAGTCAAATCCTGCCAGTATTCAAAGTTGTTTCCACTTCCTTTGAGCCAAAAAGAATGATATTTTCACATGCCTTGTATCAATTAAATAAAAACATTGTGCAGGTTAGTTTGATGGAAAATGTGCCAATTTTTCTTTATAGTAATACATACTATTCAAATTTGAATTAAAATTATTCAATGCAAATAACTATTGGCTTCAAATTTAAAATTTACGATTTGCACTGGCCTACATTTAATAAGTATCGCTGCATGCGGTCCACGGGAGTGCCTGATCTCACCACTGGTTCGGTGGATGACAAAGGGCCCCTGATCCTGGTCCGGCCCTAGACTGTAAGTGACAGCCAGGCCAGGCTGGCTCATGGCTGAGGCTTGAACATGTAGCACTGTTGAACCAGCGGCAGCGCCCTCGGGCAGCCGTGCCACATAGCTTGCATTGGAGAAATCCAGCCGCAAGCCTGCCACAGGCCCCACCCATACCTCCAGCACTCCTGCAAGCACATATTCAACTCAATAGGGCATATGCCATAACAACTCATGTTTGCCTCTCATGCAGGTGTAAAGAGACACTATGTGAATGTGTTTATTAACAATGGCACCAAAAATGCCCTATGTTTCTAATTATGATTCCTTACTGTGCATAAGGTAAAAGCTACTGCATTTACCGTATTTACTCGCGTAATGAACCCATCTTTTTTTCAGAAGTGTTCAAGCCAATTTGGCGGAAGGGTTCATTATGCAGGAAAAAAAAAAGTCACGGGAGTCACAACCGCGAAAATTTCACGTGATGGCTTTGCTTGCTTGGGCCAGTGAAATGCGTGACAAATCTTTTTTGTAGCTCGAAGCTCTTTTTGTTTCCTCTCGTAACGAAAGTGCACAAATCAACGCCGAAGTGTCGTCCAGCCACTCAGTTCAAATGCTCCAGCGATTGCTGTTTGTAACCAGCAGTGTAGCTAGCGTACCAGCCGAACATGCCCCGCACAGCAGGTGTCTCAACTAAGTTCAAAACGAGAAACCCGACAACAAAGAAGTGGCAGTTTTGCGACAAGGACGAAGCGATAAATATAATAGCAATAACTTGGAACGTAACGCTGTGAATGGCTTGCAGATCGAAACGTGCAGCAAGCTGTTCATGCACACACGATGCACGAAAAAACACACACAGGACGAGAGCGAACTAACAACGTTTACGGCTCGATACGTAGTGCGCTGTTTAAACAAGAACGACGCACTAAACGTAATGACAGGTACAGATATGAGTGTGAAACAACAAGTAACAAGTGCCCCAGTTGTTACTTCTCTGTGTTGGAAAAGCGCACTCTTTTCGCAAACTCAAAGTCCAGCGAGCTAAGGGACCTTTGTGCGCACGGTAACTAAACACGATCGTTCCGGTCAAAGTGGAAGGCCCGCGATTCCCTTCACCGAAAGTTAAGCATGCGCACACAAACATCTATAGCCCCCCCTCTCCTCATTCGCAACGCAAAGTACGCATGAGGGATAAGCACGCGTCAGCGCATTGTGACCGAGCTGGGCGCCAAGCAAGGGCGGCTTTTTTTCTTGAGTTTTCATATATATTCAGTGAACTCGAAGGGACCATGAAGAATTGTTTGTCTTATCAGATGTTCGTCTTATCAGAAGCACCCTCGAAAAAAGGATTGGTTACATACCTAGGTGTATGCAAATATCTTAGTTCAAAACAAAGTATCAAGTGCACTTACAGTGAAGGAAAAAGACACAAAAATAATTTATTTGAAAGAGTAACCTGATAGGCAACTGCGTTCAAGTGCTCTTGCTCGGCTTGATCCAGTCCATAATGGACGTCTGTTGCAGGTCGCTTGCAGGTCTGTTGCAGGTCCAATCGTTGCAGGTCACTTCATCAACGGCGGTGGCCTCACCGGCAATAGATCGGAACACAAGTCCGTGTCTTTTTCTGTAGCGATCGAGCTATCCGTCGCTGCAGGCAAACTCGATGTTCATTCGTAGGGCAATTTCCTCCTCTTTTACCTTCAGAACTACGCCGTTCACAGGCAGATTCACGCTACGAGCCCGTTGGATCCATGCGAGCAGAACATACTTCAAGCCCTTGTGTGCACCCGTCCGCATCTTCTTTCACTTCGGCGCGAAGTCTCCATCGCTCAATGCAGCAGTTACCCGCGCACTATCCTTCACGATGCCCGTTAGCGTGCTCTTCGCAATCCCAAACTTGCGTGCAATCTTGGTCTTCGTGAGCTTGCCAGCTCTCACTTCGGACAAAATTTCTGCTTTCCTTGAAAGCTCGATTGGCTTTCGTTGTACAGTTGGCTTGCTGGCCATTTTCAACGAGACAAGCGAAGCAAACAAAGCGCATGGAATAGAAAACGTGCGATCGCAGGCTCAGTCCAGAGAAAGAACTCGTTTCCTCGGCGATGGTGGCGGCAGCGACGGCGAAGTCGGAGAGGGAAAACATCCACGTGGAGAGAGCTGTGGCTGTACGACGCGAGCTCACATGTTCCCGCTGAGAAACGGCATTGGTCATGAGAGCTGCTCTCTTCGCGAATAGAGAGTCTAGGTCATCATTTTGTTGATTTTTTTTTTTACTTTTTGCCCTGCTTGCTTCTTCGCGGCTGATAGCCGATCTCAAAACTCTCTCGCTCTCATTTTCTTCTTGTTTGCTTTGCCGCTCGCTCTGCTGGTCGAAATGTGGGTGATGCCGCGGGCCATTCTTTTGTCGCTGCCTCCTTCCCTCCGCCGTGGCGCGAATTCGCTTCGTGCCATTGCTGCTCTTGTATTTTCTTTCCCTCCGGCTGCGGGAATGCCCCCTCAAGATTGCCAAAATTCCTTTGTAGAATCACCTCGGTCTCCCGGTCTCCGCCAAAGTGTTCGTCTTAACAGAAGAGCAGGTGCAAGGCTGTTCATATTAAGCAGAGTTTTTTGCATTGGGTCTATGGAAAACCAAACAAACGTTCTCACGTTGTTCGGCATAAGCGAGAATTCGTCTTAAACGAGTTCGACTTAACGGGAGTTCACTGTAGATACATATACATATATAGTGAGTAACGCCGACGTTGATGGCAAAACCCAGCCGAGAGTATCCATATATAATTGTTATCGCAATAAAACGCAGCGTCGGATGGCGGCGCACAAACGTTGCGGGTAAACAACATGCCGTCTGCACCATAGGTGAGGTTGTGTTTTGCATGGCCTTCGAGACAGCAAGCGCACGGCATGTCTCTACACCGCGCACACGCCAGTTTGAAGGCCATGCACTTTATTTTTGTGCCGCTGTGCTTGCGTGGCGTTATCACCAATGAGTTTCCTCCAGCATTCAACAAAAGGCGCTTTGCCGTAAAAGGTGCAACTTTCAAATTTTGATTGACGTCATCAGCGCTCGCACTGCTCGCAACTGTTCAGCATAGTTGCAAAACTATGTTTTGACTTTTATTGCATTGTTATTTTGCTATATAATTGCTTGATTTAACGCTGTTTCGATCATCCACGACCCTGGCTGTCATACCGAAATAAAATGAACAGATACATTACAAAAAAGTTTGTTTTTCTCTTTTTTCAAGGCAATGGTGGGTTCAATATGTGAGTGGGTTCATTAGGTGAGTAGATATGGTATACTCTATACAGATGCCAAAAAAAGATTTTTTTATTCATTGATTTGAGTCTTTCTTGAATTTGCTACCCCAGACAACACTTATTTTTTGCTCACAACCAACAGCGCCGATGCAGATTCTGATGACAGAACTTTTGTAAAACAAGCTCTTTTACGCTACCGTATCAATAACTGGTATAACAGCTGAAAACTCACCACTGGCCATGCGAGAGGGGCGACCACGATCTCGAGCCACCAGATCCAGGCGTAGCAGCCGGCCATTGTCAGCCACCAAGCTTGCAGCCACTGTCACCAGCCCAGTGTCCGTGTCAAGGTGCAGCTTGCCACCACTTGGAGTACTGCACAGTAATTGCCACCACTTGTCTTAGACATAAAGACAGCAGTTGTCAATGACCTCCCAGGAGTAAGCGGTCAGCACGAAGTTTACAGTTTCGACGTTTGTTTCTATAAACATTCTAAGCTTCCACACAGTAAATACAGTCGGGCTCACATATAATGACCCCACTTACAACGAACTCCTGCTTAAAACAAATGATAGCCACGTGACCGTGGAAATATACATTATTTCAATGACACAAACTTGCACAATAAATGTCTCTGAGTGCCTGAAAAAAATTGAATTGCTGCACAAACTTGAAGGAAAACAAGGGAGACAGGAAAGAGCACAGGAGACTGCACTCTTTCCTGTCTCCCTTGTTTTCCTTCAAGTTTGTGCAGCAATTCAATTTTTTCAAGTATGAACCAACTAGTCTGCAAAAAAGTATTGCTCTGAGTGCCATCGAGGGTTACCGCGAATAGAGTTGCCACACTGGTGACATCCTGGAACGCCACTTTCAACCACCGATAAGCATATGCGAGGTGCCCGTAGATTCTTATTGTGAAACACTGACACTGCCTCCTCAGCCCTCCAGTCGTCGCTATCTCTGACCATTTTTTGTTACGCACACCCCCGTCTTTGGTTCCCCCTCCCCCCCTCCCTTACTCTAAGCACCTTGCATCACCAGACGAGGTCTGTGCACAGTAGTCACCGATATTTGGAAGACCAGTCGGCCGACTAGACTCCCCTCAGTTTTTGATCGCTGGTGTTGTCAGTCGTCCTTGAGTGACCGGAGCATTTGCAACATCGTCAGCTGACGGCTGTATTCGATCGACACCATCTGTGTCTCTTCTGGATCGGCGTTGTATCATTCATATGTACACGCTTGTGCTGCTCCACCAATTTTTATAATTCACGATTCGTGCGGTGTTTAGGACCTGTTCTCGCTCACTTTGCACTCTGCTCAGCATGCCCTCCACGCGTGTGCGCAAGCGTTTAAAAAAAAAAACGACAACAAAAAAATGGGTGTTACGCGGAACGAGTTCGGAATGATAAAGCCTGCTGGCGCCACAGTGCGATGCTTTCAGCTCTGTGCACGCAGGCCGCTCTCTCATGTTTTCTTATGCATGAGTTGTGCGCTTCATAGACCTTTCAAGCAAGCTACCCGACCAGCCCTCTTTCTGCATGTCTTGGTTTTCAAGGTCGCCTTTCCGCCATATGCTCCGATCTCTTCACTATACCCCAACTTCATCTCTACTGCTTCGCGACACTGGCCACGCTGGCTCGAATTAACAAGCTTCTTTTTTAGCTAGAAACTAGCCCAGAGCAACTCTGCGCATTTCGAGTCGTGCATCTTGCTCGCTGTTGGTGTTAGTGTATGGTCAGAATGGCGAACAGGAAACCATTCACGCATTTTCCCGTGTCTCAACCCAACATGGAAAGTGCGACTGCTTAGGTTGGGCGTATCCATGTGTTTAAGACATATTATAAGTACCGCGTTGCGGAGCGCCTGCTCATAGCTGTTGACCACCCGGCAGCCAACTTGCCACGTCGAGTGTCCTTATACTCAGCTGTGGATATGGTGAAGGCCTCATGAGCGGAAGTGGTGGCTACTTGTGTGCAAAACTGTTTTCGTGAGAGCACTGTTTGGACTCGATTGCCATTTGTGACCCAGTGTTTTCATTATATCTTCATGGAGATGCTGGTATTCTTTTTCGCTACAATTTTAGTGTGCTGTGGTCTTTGCTTTTTTACTCCCTCTGCCCTTCATTTGTTTACTCTGCGTCCTCTCCTACTATGTAACGACCTCGTTGTTCACTCACCAGCGGCGTACCTAGCACACCTCCTTTCAGAAAAGCACTCGCAACCGTGTTTGTCAAAAAAATATTCTGGCAACCACAGTATAACCAGTCTTTTATCTTGGAGGACTGCACAATAAGCGGTATGTGTATATACATAGGGTTCTACAGAGTCGAAAAAGACGGCATTGCAACCGGTCCTGCACTAAAAACGATAGTGTTGCTGACAGGCCCTGTAAAGTTGTTTGCACCTCGTGGTGCATGTGTATCGCACATTGGACGCATTTTGAGTTCAGAACTACCGAGAGCTAGGTGGCATTGTGCTCGCGAGCGTTTATCACCACCATCATCATCATGGTTAAAGCGGTTGTGCCGGCGATGACGCCTGGCGGCAAGCCTCGGTGGCAGCAAGGGAGAGATGAGCGAGTCTCTTTAGCGGGTGGCGGTTGGCGTGAACGGTTGTCTGTAGCGGTGGGTCACCGCTGGGCGGCACTGCGGGTTGTGCGCCGGGGGCCCTCGTGGTTAAGCCAAGCTTTGGCGAAGCGGCCTTGCGTGTGTTCTTCTGTTGGTTATACTTTTGAGTGTTGCGTAAGTTTGTGTAAGGCTGTTGTAGCCTGTTGATTGTGATTGATGTTATAATAATTCAGCTGACAATATTGTCGATCTTAAAGTAGTTAAATGAATGTGTGTGGTTTGGCTTGGTTCGTTTCGACCACGTCTGCTGTGTCCGTTAACTTCAAGAACGTGGCACTCTCCACTACGAGATCCCACAATGCGGTTATGTTATAAGTGGTCTATACTGTATATCTGTTGCTCCTTAAGAGCTTATTTCTCTCTCTTTGCTTTCTTTGTGGCTTACAAAGAGCGTGAAAGCTTAGGTCTGAGAAACTTCAGCCTGAAAAACGCCCGGGCCATCAAGCTTTTTGCAGTGTGGATTAGATGGGCACAGTGACAGGTGAGGGACCACCAAATGTGCTTCCGAGCTTCAACGATGACTATGAATAGAAAAATTGGGAAGGTGTTTGAATAGGAATGAAAGGGCAGATACAAAAATACAGGCATTGCTATGTTGTCTCGGTAGAACTGAACTGCAGGCGTGCTGGAAAAATATGGCAGCAATACCTCTTAAACAGACTAAGGAATTCGAAAAGGCCATTAAAGTTTAAAAGCCTATCAAATTGCCAAGAGGTAACAGAATTCTTTGACCACATTACAACTTGAAGAAGTTAGTTCTATTTCGAGTGATGAAGCATCACGTACGGTGAGTTTCTATCTGGCCGCGACAACTTCCAATGCCATTGTTTAATTGGTAGCGAATGTCATTAGAAAAGCTGTTGTGCTACATTTGAACAAAGCTTCGGGAAGATGGTGCATAGCCACAAAGACTGCCTTCACGAGCAGCCATCCTGCCTCTTTCGTCCTTGTGAATATCTTGTTTGGTGCTCATAACTTTTGCAGTCACCACATTTATTCATGGAAAAATGGAAACCGCGTATGAGGACACAAGCAGCTCAATGCAAGAGAAAACAAAGGGGTGCTAGATTCTTCCGCATCGCATTGCTTTGTCCTCTTTCAAACCACTTGAATAATAAAGGTAAAGCATTGTACTCATTCTGCATAAATCACGTACATGACTGTAGATGAAACTTAATGTGGATCACCATGTCGCGTAATAAAAGTGACCAGAAGTTGCCCATTTGTCAGAACATGCTGCACAGGCCACTTCCATGTACTCGTATGGCATTCTTCGTTTATTTCAAACATTAGTGAATCAAACTAGATGCACAATAATGGAATGATTGAGAATTATTCATAGAGAATTATCCAATTTTTCCAATCGTTGGTAACTTGCTTCGTTATGCTTTCTCTCCTCTGGGAGAAGATCAGGCAAGTTTTGTAGCATGCATTAACATAAATGGCTGTTTCTACTTCAGCATAGCCTGTAAACCAGTGTAGTCTATAAATATATAATCTACTTTAAAACGTTAAGAGTTGTACCAGCACAATGCATAAAAACCACTGCTGCACCGTCAATAATTACAGGTTGCACAAAAAGAAACTGCTAATGTTTTGTTAGAAATTTAAACTTTACCTTTTGTAATTGCACCGCCATAAAAGGGACCAAATACTGCAAAAAGTTATAAAACAGCTGCGTGCATCAGAAGTATGCAATACACTTTATGAGATGTAAGAGGTGTGGTGCCATCAATACTGTATTTACTCGTGTAATGAACCCCCCTTTTCCTTTTTTACAAAAGTATATCCCAATTTGGAGAGAGGGTTCATTATGCGGGAGAACATAAGGTCACAGGAGGTAGAATTTAAACTCACTGTCCAACCACTGCTGGTTTTTAATTCAGTGGCAGTAATATGGAGCCTCTAAACTTACCCGAGAAATTTGCTCTCTACAAGTGAAACTGCCCTTGCGTTGACCCGCGAAATGCACGACAAACATTTTTTGTAGCCCAAATCTGTTCTTGCTTTCTCCTGTAACAAATGCGCACTGATTGACTCAAAAGTGTCGTCCAGCCACTCATGCTCCAGCACATGCTCGATCAATTCAACGAAGATGGCAGCACACGCTTTCTTTTCACATAGTTTTGCTTGCATGGTGCTACAAGCAAAGAGGTTCCTCCTGCATTATGGCTTTCAAATTTTGATCAACATCGGCGTGCTCGCGCAGCTCACAACTGTTTAGTATAGTTGTGAAACCCTGTCTTGACATTAAACGGGCCCTGAAACACTTTTTCAACCAGCCATTTAATGGCTTAATTAAAGGAGCTTGTTGCCTCATGAATTCACAACCACAAATATTTTTGAAATTCATAAGAACGAGCAGAGTTAAAGATTTGCATCAAGCTACAATTGCATTCTCTTTTTCTGGTATCGATGATAGTGCTAAAATAAGCAGGGGGGGATGGCACGGGCAAAGAAAAATGTAACACGTGCCTCGTACCCTGGAGCACTTTCTCTCTCTCTCTCTCTCTTTTTTTCCGAGTACGCAAGTTGTCAGTGCGATCACGTGCGCACGCATGGACAAGTCGCGACCTTTTGCGACGATTCCTGTAACTATCGAGCGCGCCATGCTCAAATCAGTCAGTGGCTGATACAATAGCTTTTACACAATGATTTTTGGTATCCTACATCATTTCATAGAAGAAGAGAAAGAGATTTTAAGCTGAGTTTGAGAATTCATTGCAAATTACAGGCCGCGACCTGTGCT